GTTTTTTTAATTTTTTTTCGTTTTGTTTTTGTTGCGAATCGAGACGAATTATTCGGTACTAAATGCAATTTTCTTGTTTTTGATTGTGAGATCCAGTTTTCCATGTCACGGACGAATTCGGAAACAAGGTTTACGACAATTGCATTGCGGATCGAATTCAAGAGGTATATATATATATATATATGTATAGTAGTAGTAGTAGTACTCTTATGTGGTACAGAATCGTTTCGTTTTTAGTAATCGAATTATGAGAAAATCATTAAAACGCCGCAAACCCTTTTTAAGCCTTTAAATTCGCCTTTTTTCGTGTGCGATAACAATGAAGATTCCGTTTCTTTACTTGGTAGGAGTATCCAATCTCCAAGTCGCGTCTCAGTCGATTTCTTCGTCGCAAAATTAATCCTTTTTTGTGTGTGTGTGTGTGTGCGCGCAGTATGAATGTAGATTCCTAACTCAATTTGATTTTTATTATATCTATTCAATTCTGAAAAAGAAAAAAAAAGAAGAAATAAAAAAAGAAAAAAAAAAACAAGAGATAAAATCACAATCAAATTACTGAAAGTAAAGTGTAAATGTCTATAAGGCAAGTCTCTGTTACAATCAATAAAATCAAAAGTATATATTTAGTAAATTAAAATTAGAAATTAAAAAATAGAAAAAAAAAAAAAAAATTCTGCTTGTATAAGTTTGCCTTATTTTTTTATTTTTTTATTTTTTTATTTTTTTTATATATATATTTTTTTAATGATTTTTTTGTTTATATGTTACAGTCACTGGTGAAAAGAGCAGAGAGTATGCGAAAAATGGAAAGGTCCATAGTGGTGCAATCTGCTGCACCGCACACCACCATAGAGTTGTCAGGCATAGACCGGCCCGGTTTACTCTCCGAGATTTTTGCGGTCCTCGCCGATCTCAAGTGCAATGTAGTCGCCGCAGAAGTATGGACCCACAACTCACGAATGGCTGCGATCGTCTACATCACGGACCAGTCCACCGGACTGCCAATCGACAATCAGAATCGTCTCTCCAGCATCAAGCAGCTCCTCCGCTACGTCCTCAAGGGCAGCAGAGACTGGCCAAGTGCCAGCACCGCAGTTTCGTGCAGTTCGACCCACACTCAGAGACGCCTCCACCAGATCATGTACGCCGACCGCGACTACGACCGTCAGAACGCTGACGTGGACAATGCTAATGCTGTTGTTGTTAATGCTGCTAAAACGGAACGGATCAAGCCTATTGTAACTGCAGAGAATTGCGTGGAGAAAGGGTACACTTTGATCAACTTGACCTGCCCCGATAGGCCTAAGCTGCTGTTCGATACGGTTTGTACGATTACCGATATGCAGTATGTCGTTTTCCATGGTACCATCGTTGCCGAAGGGCCGGAGGCCGAACAAGTAATTAATTAATTAATAACTCTTTAATTGCAATTTGCCTCTTTTTATTATTACATCATATTTTTAAAAATTCATTTAATTTCATTTTTAATTATTTGCTATTTTAGGAGTACTATATAAGGCATATGGACGGGCTCCCGATTAGCTGTGAAGCAGAGCGACAACGAGTTATTAATTGCTTGGAAGCCGCAATTAAGAGGAGGTCGTCCGAGGTATTAAAAAAAATTAAATCGATTTTTCTTTTTTCTCCGTAAAGTGCAATGTCACGTGATTTTTGATGCGTATGCGTATGTATATATATAAATGTGCAGGGGGTAAGATTGGAGTTATGTAGCAAAGATAGGGTAGGCCTACTATGCGACGTGACGCGCATATTTAGAGAAAACGGGCTTTCGGTGACTCGTGCTGAGGTGGCGACGAGGGGTGGACAGGCTGTCAACGTGTTCTACGTGGCGGATCCATGGGGATATCCGGTGAAGAAAGAGACGATCGAGGCGGTGCGCAAAGAAATAGGGCTCAATGTGCTTTACGAAAAGAAAGAGAACTGCGGTACGAAGTATAATTCGTCGCCAGCTCAGCAGGGTATCATCGGCCGATTCTGGTTCGGAAACCTCTTCCGTTTGAGTTCGGAGAAGTTTTTTTACAATTTAGGCCTCATAAAATCATGCTCATTGCAAGTTAATTAGGTACTAACTAATTAATTAATTGACTCTAGTTGATATATATACATATATAATGGGCTTAAAACATACATATATACATGCATATATAGTATATATACCTAATTAGAGGTTTCCAAAGCTTATTGCTGATCATAGTATATAGGCCTATTTAGGTTTAAAGAGAGGTTATTTCTTAGTGAACATGTAAAGATTTTATATGTGGAACTCTGTATTTATTTTCCTTCAATTTGTTTTTATTTTACTCTTGTCCTTAATTCAACTTTTGGAGGTCATTGTAAATAAAATAAATAAATAAAGAAAATTCATTTAATTTGGACAACACCTGATACTCAGCGGAGGTTGTTTTATATATATATATATATATTGGAAATATGCAATACCCTTAAAAGTCAAATTGGAAATATTTTGAATCAAACTCAATTAACTTTTAAGACTTTTGCCTAAATTCAAATTTCGTTCTTAATTAGTCAGAGTTCGTGAGACTAGTGTGAGAGGACAAAAATACCTCAACTACTATAACCCTAATTATTTGTTCACCTCTATCACTATCATCTTCTCTCTTTTTCATCTCTCAATCTAAATCCCTCATGTCTCTCTGAAAATTCCTACTTCTTCCACCGACGTTGCTGCTGCCGCCGCTCGTTGCCACCGCCGCTTCCTCCTTCGTCTCCACATAAATAATTTATTTCTCTCCTATTCGCTATCTCTCTCGATTTCTCTCTCTTTACATCACCATCATCTCCACATAAATCTGTACACCACCACCGTCGTCGCTCGTTACCGCCTCCGCCGCCTCATTCATTTCCACGTAAAGCTCTTTCGTTCTTTTTCGTTATCTCTCTCGATTTCTCAGTTTTTTTTTTCCAGATCTGTCCATCACCACCGTCGCGGTCTCTCTCACTCTCTCTTTTGTTCACCGCCGCCACCGACGTTGTAATGGACTCATCCCCCTCCCTATCTTATGTTATTTTTCTATCTTTATTTCTGTATTTTTCGAATTTTTTTTTCTCCAAATCTGAAAATACAGTTTCAGATTTGAACAACAACAGTAACATGACTATAGTCATATTCGAATATGACTATTGTTGAATATGACTGTAGTTATATTCGAATATGTTCTATCTTCTCGTTTCAAGTTGACTTGTAATAACAAGATTCAAATTTTGATTTTCTATGTAGATGTTGATTCGATTGTTTTGGTAAACAATATGTAATCTTCAATATTTTATATCATTTGATAAACATGGCTGTACGACGACACTATATAATCGGAATTTTGAAGTTGAAAATGTAAAAAACTGCAATATAAAGAATGAATATGAATACAGTTAATATAGTCATATTCGGTTAAAGTCATATTCAACTATAGTCATATTCGTCGTAGTGAACCTGTCGAGCAAAAAAATTAATTTTTTGTTTAAAAAAATATTTAAAAAATAAATTTTTATTAAAAAAAATATTGTTATTAAAAACATATTTAAAAAAATGATAAATAAAGTTCGAAAATAATAAAATATTACAAAATAAAAAAATCATTTTTTTTATTTGGTAGTAGATTTTTTGGAATTAGGTGACGTGTTGTTAAGGGAAAGAGAGAAAAAATGAATAATTGAGACAAAATACGTTAATTGACGTAAGGGTATATATACATGGGGTTTTTAAGCATAAGTCTGTGACAAACCATCTTTATTATTCTAGGTTCAGAGGTTATATCTCGTTCGCCAATAAGCTCATCCCTTTAATATGCATTATAAATGAAGGAAAAATTAATGTATATAACAAAATTACCCCCAGTCATTTATACTCAATCCATAATTGTAATCTCAATTTAATCAATTTTGACCACAAAAATTCAATTTTGACTTTTTATTTTTTCTGAAATTCTTTTTTTGGCGCCGGTTTCCAGCGTTGTTCTTTTTCAGTCTGCTTTTTCCGACGCCGATTTCTGGCGTTGATTTTTTTTAGTATTTTTCCCTAAATTTTTTATCCATTTTTTTTACGTGTGCCGCTGAACGTTGATCGTAATTGTACTGTCATTAACAGTAATTATACTGTTAGCGGCAATATTATTATCTTTCTGGCTTTTTTTTATTTTTATTTGTTGAAAAGTCAACGTAATTATATTATTGTCGTTGATGGTAAAATTTATGTAACCACAATAATATTGTCAACCACATCAATATAATTTATTTATTTTGGCTTTTTTGTTATGTTTGAGTTATTGATCGATTAACGTAATAATATTACTGTCTACTATTGTAATATTACTGTAAACACAATAATATATTGTGGTTGACGGTAATATTATTGTTGTTACAATAATATTACTGTTGATGACAATAACATTACTCTCAACCACATCACTATTAATTCATTTGGCTTTTTATTATATTTGTCTTTGTTGAATGGTCAACATATTAATATTACTCTATTACTCAATAATAATGATTTTTGTTGTATTAATATTACTGTGTTAGAGACTAATATAGAAATATTATTGTGTTAAACTCTAGTATAGTTAATATTACTGTGTTTAACAGTAATATAGTTAATATGATTGTCAACAACAACAATATTGTTGTTTAAACGGGTCAAAAAGATGCTAAAGAAAAAAAATCGAAAAAATCAATGTCGGAAACCGACGAAAAACAAGGAGGAAAAAAAATCAACGGCATCGACGCGCGAAATTGCACTCAAAATTGAGTTTTGGGTCAAAATTGAATAATTTGTGAAATTTGCGGTCAAATTGAGGTTAAGTTAAATTAGAGGATGAAATGCGAGGGGGTATTTTAGTCTTTCGCAAACCTCTGGACAATGTGTGAATTTTTTTGTAAAAGAGTTTTTTGTCTGGACCGCTTTATGAATAAGTATCTCATGATGAGCTTATTTGTAGTTTGTTAATAAAAATTAAATAAGTAAATACAAACAATATTTTAGTTTTTAGAAAGGCCAAATAGAGTGGAATATAAATTAATTTACAAACATATTCATAATAATAGCAAAAAAGAAAGGAAATTGTACAAATAGAACCTAGTCGAGGTGTGTTTTCGAAACATAGACAACTCCAAGATTTGTTTGTTTTGCTAACCATCTGCTAACCATCAGTTTGGGAATGATAATGTTAATGTGGATTAATGATGATTGTTGATTTATACTCCCTCCGTTCCTAAATAATCGTCACTTTTCACTTTTCACAAAGATTAAGAAACTCAATAAATATATCTTGATTTTAGAAAAATCATATAAAAATTACTAAAACAACCTTCAATATTTAATGATTTATAAGAGAAATTTAATGAATAGAGTTTCATTAGTAAGGTTAAAATAGAGAAAATGCATTTAATGCAGTATTGGAAATCTAAAGTGACAGATAATATGGAACAAAAATATTTTTAAAAAGAGACAGTTATTGTGAAACAGAAGAAGTATATAATAGCATTTTTACACATGTGATGCACGGGATACTATTTCAAAAATGAAAATAATAATTAGTTCAATAAATGATGACAATAACAATTATAATAAATTTTATTAGTGATATCGGTAACAACATGAATAGTTATACATATATAATAATACAAACTCATTTGGATAAAAAAATATACAAGCTTAATTGTCGTAATATGAAATTGATCATTAAATAAATGTAACAAGTAAGGAAGAATTAGAGAAAATAAGCTGGAAAAATAAATAGGAGATAAAAATAATTATAATAAATAAAAAGATATAGAGGTAGTGAATTATGGTTGTAACAGCCGAGATTTGGTATGAAAGTAAAAAACAAAATGGCTGAAATGTTTGTGAAAATAATAATTAGTTCAATAAATGATGACAATAACAATTACAATAACATTTCATAAGGATTTCTTACATGGGGTTTTTATGCATAGGTCCCTAACCAAGCATCTTTATTATTCTAGGTTTAGGGGCTAGATCTCTTTCACTAATAAACTCATCCCTTTAATATTTATTATAAAGGGTAAATTACAAATATGAGTTCCAAAAATATTTGATCAACTAATACAATGAGTTACTCTTCCATAACATCTATAACATTTATGTCATTATTTATCGAAAGTATCTCATAACATCCATCTTCAACTTCAACAAGATCCTCAGATTTTAGAGCAAAGTTGTCCCTTGGTTTAATAACAACAGGCACCACCCATGGCCTATCACGTGGATCTTCGACGTAGAATGCTTGCAATACTTGTGATGGCAGAACAAAAGGATTTGCTTTTGCATCTGGCCTGGATAAATTCACAAGTGTAAAGCCTAGGTTGTCCCTCTTGTTCGTACGAATATTAGCCCAATCACACTCGAACAAGACTACTTTTTTTGCACCAACATTGAATGAAAGTTCAATGATGTCTTTTATTACGCCATAGTAGCCTACATCTTCATCTCTTGGAGATTTATCCTTCGAACTCGCGAAACTGGTAGTTGCTGCTTTCACAAAAACACCACTATTTTGAGTAAAATTAGATTCTTCAGACGACTTTGTACGAAATGTAAACCCTTGAACATCAAGTCTCTTAAAAGTCTTCACTCTAAAATCACGGGAACTAGCCAAGACTCTAAGATTTTCATCTATTCCAACCTTTCTTTGCACCTAGTTGGTCAACAAACGATTACTTATCTTAAGTATCAAATATGAAAATTAATCACAATCTAATGGAATACACTTACATATGACTGAAACCAACGACGGAATTCTTTGTCCTGTAACTGTTGAATTCGCCATTGGTAAGCAGGGTCACTCGTTGAGATTTTATTCTTAACGGTCTCTAAATGCTCCCTACGAAAAGGGTATATATTTTAAAGCAGTTCAATGAAAACTATTGACAATTAAAATCCATATAGATAACTTACTCAATGTAAGGTTGAACTTCGTCACAGTTGAAAAGGCAATAGTTGTGCGCCTTCTCCATTAAATCATAATTGAGGACTTTGTACTTAGGATGTACATCACTATCATTTGATACTCCCGAGAATATTGAAAATGCACTTTGTGGTTCATCATCACAAAGTGTAGCTGAGGAGTTTTCGGTGTATAGTGAGCAAAAGTTTAAGCATTCCTCAGTGACGTAACATTCGGCAATAGAGCCTTCAGGACACTTTTTATTCCGGACAAAACTCTTTAAGTGGCCCAAATATCTATGTCAAAGTAAATTTTATAAAGATTAGATTTTATTATAATAAGTTAATGGAAATTAAATATGACATCGACTCTTGAAAAAATTATAAATACCTCTCTATTGGATACATCCATCGATAATGCACTGGTCCGGCAACCATTGCTTCATGAGCTATGTGAACCGGCAAATGCATCATCACAACAAAGAATGATGGGGGGAACAATTTCTCAAGATTGCATAGTACTTTTACAATATCAGAGTGTAGTTTTTGAAAATCTTCAACTGTGTTGGTTTTGGAACATAAGCCTCGAAAAAAACTACACAACTGAATAATAGTACAAGCCATCTTGTTAGGTAACCCCACATTTCGAATTGCCAATGGAAGCAATTGTTGCACCAATACATGATAGTCGTGGCTCTTCAGTCCCCCTACTTTGTCTTCATTCACACAACGGGCTATATTGGATGCATAGCCGTTAGGAACCTTAATGTTTGATATAACATCACAAAGCGATTTCTTAGACTGGACAGACATCTTGTGATACTTCCCAAGTTTTGGGACTAGAGTGGGAAAACGTGGACCAATCTTACCAGATGGTGGTTTTTTAATTTTTTCAATGTCCTCCTTTGCATTTTCAAAACCATCATTTTTGCTAAGAAGATTTAATAGCCACTTTAGTAGCAATTCCCCAATGTTCTTCTCAATATGCATGACATCCAGGTTATGACGTATCAAATTATCTTTCCAATAAGGCAGTTCAAAGAAAATACTTCTCTTTCTCCATTGAGAATCTCTATGAACTGCTTGGCCTACGCCAAATACAACATCGATTCCCTCCGTTTTTGATAAGACATCTTCCCCGGACGGTGGAGGTGGTGCCCCTTCCTCTGGAAAGCGGCTATGTCCCATAAAACATTGTTTGTTTGACTTGTACAAACGCTCAGATACGGTATCTTCAGCACAGCTAGGACAAGCAAGATAACCGCTCGTGCTCCACCCCGATAAATTACCAAGTGCCGGGAAGTCATTAATAGTCCACAAGAGGGCCGCTCGCATATTAAAGTACTGTTTGGTGGACATATCAAAAGTTTGAATTCCCGAATTCCACAACTCCTTCAGCTCGTCTATCAATGGTTGCAAATAAACATCAATGCCATTTTTAGGTCCCTTGGGACCAGAAATAAGCAATGACATCATCATATGAGAACGTTGCATGCACAAATTTGGTGGCAAATTGTAAATCATTAGAATGACAGGCCACGTGCTATACTTGCTACTTAATGATCCAAAAGGATTGAAACCATCTGTAGCCAAACCTAGCCTTACGTTTCGGGATTCCAAAGAAAATGACTCATGTTTCTTATCGAACTCTTTCCACGCATCGGAATCAGCAGGATGCCTGAGAACTCCATCGTCACATCGAGTCTCCGCATGCCATCTCATGTTAATGGATGTTCTCTCACAGATAAATAAACGCTTAAGCCTCGGAATCAAGGGGAAGTGTCGCAAAACCTTTTTCGGTACTCTTTTGCGGCGAGTGGTTGAAGAGCTCGGCTGGTTCTCCATGGAAGTCTTCCATCGTGAAGCATTGCAGACTCTACATGAATCTAAGTCTATATCATCCTTCCAGAACAACATGCAATCATTCTCACATGCATCAATTTTCACATAACCACACCCCAATTTCCCAATCAACTTCTTAACTTCATAAAAAGAGTCGGGAATATTTAGACCAGGAATTTTTTTAATTAGTTGGAGTGTGTCTGAAAACGTCTTATCGCTCATCTTGCCTCGAGATTTAATTTTGTAGAATTCCAACACGAATGAAAGTTTAGAATTTTCTTGGCATCCCTCATATAGAGGGATACACCACTCTTCAATGAGTTTACGAAAATCATCAACTTCCGGTGTGGATTCTTCCAATGATTCGTGTTGATCAGGATGAATACATGCTTGCAACAATTCTTCCATGTTCTCACGACCGCTCGCACCACCATCGGTTTCATGATTCACCTCTTCAACTTCAGAAATTCTGAAATCAGCAGCTTCATTTGTTTCACAAACCTGATGCCCGAGACGATATTCTTCCTCAGACTCTAGGTGCATTACCCATTGGCCTAAACCATAAGATTTATCCCAACCCCTCCAAAGTAAATGTCCATGGACAAATTCCCGATCCCCAATTTTTCTACACTCACAATCTCGACATGGACATCGTATTTTATTATCAATCGCAGCCTTATTAAAAGCAAAATCCAAAAATTCTTCACAACCCTTTTGAAATGCATCTAATCGATGATCATCTATCAAAACCCAACTCCTATCCTTTGCCATTTTGTAGTAAGTAAATAGTCTTACTGATGCTGGTAAAAAATAGCATGACAAATATTTCAGTTATTCAAAATATTGTTTTTGTCATGTAGAATGCATTAATTAATATAGAAAAAAAAAATCGAAATGAGAAGAAATATTAATTTTACGTAACCACGCACACAAATATTTCTTTTATTAACATAATAATCATATAATCAGTTTTACATGATTATTGATTTATTTATAAATCAAGTGCTAAAAAGAATTATTCAATATTTAATAAGTATTTTTAATAAATGGAAATGTAGATTGTCTTCTACTATTAAGAACGCATAAAAATCGGAAGGAAGAGATAAGTTGCATCATATAAGTTTGCGTTAACATGCGACAACAAAGTTGAATGAATACAGAAAAACTTTGTCGTGGTAAAGGTGAGGGAAAGGATAATTTCTTACTCGAGAAAGTCTAAATGTGCAAAACTTGCGCTTCCTTTTCCAGCTATACTTGATTAGTTGTGTTCCTTTCTTCAAAGCAATAAGTACCTTCAGTCAACAAGTCAACAAAATTAAGTACCGATTCAAAGGTTCAACAGTTTTTCACCCACTTCCACAAATCGATTCTCACACACACACACACACGCACAGACACATTTGTCTACCTCTGCTCTTTTACATATTCTAAGATTCGCATCAGCCGAATGTTCGCAACTGTATGATTTGCTGGAATCAGCAAAACATGTTTATGAACAAAATCAAATTACAAAAAAAGAAAACCTTTTCACACACACACACACACACACTCACTCAGAGAGAAAAACACACACATATCACACAATTTGATGCATATATCAAATTCAATTCAACAAACGTTTACGCCTCTTCACACACACACACACACAGACACACAGACACACACACACACACACACACACACACACACAATTAGAAGCTTAAAATGCTACATGATTATTAGTTGTTTGCTGTATATTATGCAGGTTACACTGATTTGGCAGCGTGGTGTTGGAACGGAAGTGGCCAATAACGGTCGGAAAATAAGCCAAATTAGTTGTATAATAATGGAGGATATATCTTTTGATTTTTATGGATGATTAATTAGTAGCAAATTAATAAAAATTTATTATTATATGAAGATCACAGTTATTGAAGATGTACCGGCTGCAAAATTTCCATTATGCATTCGTTACTTTATTATCCTTCTGCAAACTAATGACATGTGTTTTTGATTAATCTGTGTACAGACTTTGCAATATAATTTTTATTTTAATAAGGGAAAATATAAAGAAAAACAAAGAGATTCTCTTTATTTTCATGAAAGGGAATAGAAAATGCATTTATATTTATTTGCATTTCAACTGATATCAATAAATATATATATCCATATAAACTTTGCAGCAATCAATTTTAAGCATAAATACCTCGACAGTCTGCACACGGTGGGCTTTCACAGACGAGGCGGCGGCAAGGCAACGGCAGAGGCGGCAAGGCAACACTTCGGAACAGAGATCCCAAGAGAGTGAGAAAAAGATGCAGGGAGAGAGAGGGAGAGAAAGAAGGGGGGAGTTCGGTGGCCGGTGATGGTGGAATCGCGCCGGCAGAACGACGCCGCCACCGGCGACGGTAGAGTCGGAGAGACAGAGAAGAGAGAGAGAGAGGGGGAGAGAGAGAGAGAGAATGGAGAATTGGGCTGAAACGAATTAGGTTTAACCCAATTCTTTTATGCGACGAATTCCACAGAATCGACGCGAAAATGAAAAAAAAAATCTTAAATTAATTAATTGCGTCGATTCAATATAAATCGTCGCCAGGAAATAATAAAAAATCAATTCCATTGCGACGTTTATATATTCGTAGCAATTTGGGCTCCAAAATTTGGGAAAGAGAAAATGCTTGCGACGTTTCATATAAATATTCGTCGCAATATTTATTAAAAAATAATAAAATGAAAATAATTTATTCTAACTGCGACTATTTCCCAAATCGACGCAACGGGAAAAGAAATAAATGCAATTTGTTTGCGTCGTTTAGTCACAATTCGTCGCAGGTAACATAATAAATAAAATAAAAATTATTCTAATTGCGACGACGTGTATTTCGTCGCAGGGATTGAAGAAAAAAATATTTTTTTCAAACTCCTAGCGACGATTATATAACTTTCGTCGCTAACATATACTTTAAAAATAAAAAAAAATTACTTTTCGCGACGTTTGTCGCTTTTTCGTCTCAAAAATATATGAAAAAGATTTTTGTTTTCTCGTTGCGACGTTTATTGACTGATTCGACGCAACCTAGCGACGATACTCGTGTTTCGTCGCCAAGGTTTTGAGTCAAAAGCGAGATTTAAACTGTTGCGACAAATGTAATAGGAATCGTCGCAAAATTGCGACGATTTTTATTTAGTCGCAAATTTTAACGTCGCCAGAACTGTGTTTTGGCCTAGTGTATGGTCAAATTACAAAAACACCCCTCTTGTTTGGATAATTACAACCACCCCCTCAACTCCTCAAATTTAGTGGAATCTTCGAGATTATATGGAATATTATCACTTTTGTACCCGTTTTATCCCATTCAAACTCTACATTATGAAGCAAGATGATCATAATATGTGATTTTTAGCTTGTATATATCAGTTTGTGGTGCATCGGAAACTGTATTTTTTACAAAAAACGAGTACAAACTAGAGCGCATTTCACGGAATCTAGATGACTATGTTGAATTTGGCACCATAAAGGTGGAGGTCTAAGAAAAAATCATAGTTGAGGGGGTAGATGTAATTATCCAAACAAGAGGGGGATTTTTGTAATTTGACCATACCTCATGGGGGTTTTTGTAATTTACCCTATTATAAATAAAGGAAACATTCATGTATATGGCAAAATTACCCTCAATCATTTATACCCAATTCTTAATTGTAACCCCAATTTAATCAATTGTGACCACAAAAATCCAATTTTGACTTTTTTTGAAAAAAAAATAAAAAAATTGGCGCCGGATTCCGGCGTTGACGTTTTGGTTTTTTTATTTTTTATTTTTTTTTTGTTTTTTTTTATTTTACGTCCGCCGCAAAATGTTGACCGTAATTGTGCTGTCACTGACAGTAAATTAACGTAATTATATTGTCAATGACAGTTAATTAACGTAATTGTACTGTCGTTGACAATACATTTATGTAATTGTTCTGCCGTTGACAGTAAATTAACGTAATATTATTATTTTTTATTTTTTATTATATTTTTTTTATTTTGTTTGATTTGTTGGCAAGTTAACGTAATTATATTACTGTCGTTGACAATAAAATAACTGTAAACACAATAATAAAACACTCAACAACATCAATATTATTATTTTTTTGGGTTTTTTGTTTTGTTTGAGTTATTCACGGAGTAACGTAATAATATTACTGTCTATTATTGTAATATTACTGTAAACACAATAATATTATTGTGGTTGACGGTAATATTACTGTTGTTATAGTAATATTGATGTCAACCACATCAATATTATTATTTTGTTTAGATTTTTTTGTTTGTTTGAGTTATTCACGGAGTAACGTAATAATATTACTGTATAGTATTGTAATATTAATGTGGTTGACGGCAATACTACTGGTGTTATAGTAATATTACTGTCACTCACAGTAATATTAATTCTTTTGGTTTTTATTATGTTTACATTTGTTGAACGGTCAACATAGTAATATTACTCTATTACACAATAATAATGAGTTTTGTTGTGTTAATATTATTGTGCTAGAGATTAATATAGCAATATTACTGTGTTAAACTGTAGTATAGTTAATTTTACTGTGTGTAACAGTAATATAGTTAATATTACTGTCAATCACAGCAATATTGATGTTTAAACGAAAAAAAAAGATGTTACAGAAAGAAAGAAGAAGAAAAAATCGAAAAAGTCCACGCCGAAAACCGGTGGCGAAAAAAAAAGTCAACGCCGGAAACGGGCGAAAAAATTCGGAAGAAGAAAAAAAAAAGAAAAAAAAAGTCAACGGCGGTGACGGACGAAATTGTTCATAAAAATGCGTTTTGGGTCAAAATTGAATAATTTGTGAAACTTTGGGTCAAATTGAGGTTAAATTAAATTAATGGATGAAATTGGAGCATATTAAAGTATGAGGGGTTATTTTAGTCTTTTACAAAAATCTGGGCCATGTGTGAACTTGTTTGTAAATGTGTTTATTGTCTGAATCTCTTTATAAATAAGTACCCATTGATGGGCTTATTTGTAAATACCCCTTCTTACATTGCCCTATCATTTCTTTCTTTTATATATAAATTATAGAGATGCCTATGGAAAATATATTGAACTTTCTGTTTAGGTAAAGTATAAAATAAACTCTGCACCTTTGAATTATGCCCATCTAGTAGATTGCACCCTTGAAATATAAAAAAAGACATTTTGCACCTTGAGTTTTCATAATCAATTTCAAAATTCACCCTAATCCATTTTTAGTAGAATTGCTAACCGGCTAAAAAAATCTACGGTAAAACTTTATGGAATACCGTGCCTTGTTAAAAATCTTGCAAAACGAGGAAGATCACTTTACCATTTCTTTTCTTTGATTTTTTGCTTTATTTATACATCGATAATTAGCGTGTGTCCTAATTATGTAGGAAACATGATTAATTAGGTTAAACCGGAAGGAATTTAAGAATTTGCAGTATCGCCCATAAAGTTTTACATAGGGTGTGGAAATCGAACATAACGGATCGAAAATTGCTTTTTCGGAAATTTTTTTATTTTTTTTTAGAAGTAAAATATGGGTTCCAATTTCCGTTGCAAAAAATCGGAATGAAAAAAAAATCTTTCCAATTTCGGAATACCTCGGAATCGGCGGGATTTCAGAAATTTCGGAAATTACATTAGTTTATAAACTCTTGTTCCAAATTTGGCTTAATGGGAATTTTCACAACATTTTTCTAGTTTTTTAATTGAAATTTTGTAGGAAAATGCAATAAAAGAGAGTTCGACAAAACGCAATAAATA